CATATTACATTTGGATAGGCAATAACAAATATGCATTAATCATTTATATATTTTTTAAATAATTATACAGCTTATATAATGGATGAATATGAGAACTATAGAAATGACATAAAGATAATACTGAGAATTATTTTGAGAATAGCGTTTTGTGACAAGGTTATATGTAGCTTTTACGATTACTTTGATCTCGAGGAGCGCATCAGAAGATAATAACTCACTAAAGTCGCGTAAAAGCGACGGGCAATCCGTTCTATTCGATTTGCGAAGAAGAATACCTCTCTAATCGAGAGACTCGAAATGGTCACGTGCGGTTATCGCGGCTGCAAGATGAAATCCCTCGACGAACGAGAGCACGGCGACGAGAGGGCGAGCGCGTGACACACGATGGAAGTCCATAAATCTAATCGACGTCCACGGAAGCACGAACGCGGGAGAGTAGAAGGGCAAAAAAGGCGAAAGGTGAGGGTGGCGGAAGCGAGAGAGAGAGAGAGAGAGAGAGAGAGAGAGAGAGAGAGAACGCGCGAGCAAGGGAGGCGAAGGGCGGGATGGTTCGTTAAACGAGCTTAACGTGTGCCACCCCGTGGTAAGGCATTACTCTCGACTAACGGGCCGTGTTGCAAACCCTATTAGCAATATATTTTCCTCGCTCCGTCGGACCTCCGGCCCGCCATTGTGTTGCCGGCCGAACGGTTTACACGTTGTCGTTGGAAGCGCGCCGCGCGCGTCCAGTGAGATTTTCAGTCCCGTGGGCCGGAAGCTCGCTCATCGATCCCCATCTCGTTTCCTGACGTTGACCCTCGGCAGATTTGTGCGCCCACCGGGTAAATTCTTCTCGATTCTCTGACCGACCTCGTGCTCTTAACACGGAGCCGGCGCGGCGGCCTGTTGATTTGCCGGATGATAGTTAAACGCCTCTCGGGATCGCGTTCCCAAAAGGTATCAGGTGTATAATAGCAATCTGTTGAAAAGACCCGGGATTTTATCTTTTATTTCGGTTGCGCGGAGGAGTAACGATTTTAAATTGGATTTGCGGATTTGCCCGTTTTAACGAAAGAATTGTACGTTTGGCTCGTGATGTGTATAGTTAGTATAAAACAAAAATAAATGTTTATAGTTGGCTAACTGAACGAGGGGAACTGACATTGATACTTTCTAACGCTCTCTTGGTCCGTGAATGGTTCTTCGGAAAATCACGGCAGACATTTGCGCAATGCTCGACCGTGTTTGCAGTGGCCCATAAAAGGAGGAAGGAAAAAGAAAAGCGACGCAGCGAAACACGATCCTCGGAAGAAGCTAGCAAGCGTCGACTTTTCAGGTGCACCACCTCGTGTCTCCCATTTATAACCGGTCGTACCGACAAGACAGCGGCGCGCGTATTCCGCTGCTGGCTCTCTGCTCACACAGCAGAGAATTTCAGTAAAAGTTCCGCGAGGCGATACCGAGGTCCGCATATGTTACCGCCGCGCCCGCTCGCGTTACCGCTCTACCCCCGTGAAATTCTGAGAGAAACGTCGAACGGGGATGCGGACCGGCGCGGCGGCTCACCAACCGTCTACGTGAGCCCACACGAGCCGGGTTCCACTCATCCCTCTTTCTCTCGGGGAAGACACGTGAATACCGCAAATCATATTCGTGAGCTATGAGGCGAAAAGAGGGCAACGAAAGAGAGAGAGAGAGAAAGAGCTGGAGACTGTCCCCGGGTGATGTCACACGAGATGGCTTTGTACGGAGCGCTTTGTACGACTTTGGACGGATTTTAGCGGGGTTTCGATGCCGCGCGAGCTCGACGACGCAACGGGCCGAATACTAAAACAGTCGTTCCGCGACCGCGCGGAGACGGTAATAAATATGTAAAACTCGGCCGGAGGGTGAATCGCGCGCGGGAAGATTAATAAGCAATTCTCACCGGGGGGGTGCCCCACAAACGTGGGGAAAAGCTCTTCACGCAGCGAAGTACCGCTACTTCCGCTACTATCGACTTCGATAGCGTGGCGTTTTTAGGCATGTGGCTTGTATCGGTCTACTACGTCAGTAATGTATTTATATATTGTATAATAAAGCATATATATATATAATGCTTTAGATAATAATATAATGATGTCATATCCTACTAACGATCGCTTGAATATTCATGAGATTAGCCCTCATGACGACGATTTATTCTGTAATTAACCGTGGAAAGCTAACGTGAAGTTATTACTAATTAGCGCTAATGTGATTTTATATATGATACAGAAGCATTACGTTGCGAAATGTATACAAAATACAATGCGATTGATTAGTAGTTGATATAAAAATTCCTTACAATAAATACACTTAGAAAGCATTTTAGATTAATGCTATAAAAAATAAATACACAACTAATATATTTAACCAATTTTAAATTAATGCCATAATGAATAGTTAAATAATTATAATAGTTAAAACAATAAATAGTAAAAAAACTATGAATAGTTAAAACAATCAACGTCAAAAAATTTCTTACTGCACTCGAATATCTATATATTTAATCGGTAAATTTATAATGCGCGCGAGAATTTATTTTACTTTTAAAAATAATGAAAAATTTAACAATATTAATTATAACATTAAAAATTTATTTACCTCACAGGACAGAAACCTCTGTAAGATAAACAAATAATAGTAAGGATCACAGATATGGCGCAATATTACTCGCAGGTATATTTCTCTACAAAGGTTCATGCCAAGTAGTAAAGGTTCGTTACGTCTCAGACGCCCGCGATGCTCGTGGAACGATGTTCATGGGAGCATCGAGCGCATCTTACGACTTTTTCGCGAGCGAGTCAATTGTCAGCGTAACAATGGTCGACGGGTTTGGTGGGGGGAGGGGGAGGGGGGAGGGGAGAAAATTCACGCTTCGGGACGACCGGTGGATATCTCTCCGACGGTCCCGACGGATAAACGCCGCTATAAAAGGCCGTGAATGCCGGGTATTAGCGCCACTAAAGCGTCGTCTTGCGCCGCCCTCGTGTAATCTCCGTCGAGATTACGACGTCCGTCTGCGGAATCCCGTGGGAAGCGGAACGCTCCTTCCCCACTCTTTCCCGGCGAAGTTTCTCTGCTCTTCAGCATATCGATTCGAGGTCGACGACGATCGTATAGCATGTCGGGAACGGCAATTATTCGGGCAACGATTATTGAATTCTTTCCGCGTCGCTAATTTAATCGCGATGGGACGATATCTTCTTGCGAACACGACGAACGGTCTGTAATTAGGATCGAATTAATCTTAATTGCCCTTGTGTTTCTGCAATAATGCAAATGCGTGTACCCTTCTTTTTTGAATAGAGAACTTGCAAAATTGAAAATAATTAACAATTGTCTTTTTAAATTTATATCTACTACCTACATGTTGCGTTTTTTTAATAAATTAAAGCCAAACAATTAAAATGTTCCTAATGAGAGCGGCTTGACGATGCATATGCACGCGCTGCCGTTTGCCCTCAAATTCATATGTTCATGTCATGTCCGTTACATTTTTTATTTCGCCTCGCGCCCATATATATATATAGCTTTGACACGCAGACCGGCACTATACCGACTTTTGTTTGCGCTCATAGAACACGTTTCGAAAATATCGCCACGTACTTCGGATACAGCCCGAATACGATCGTCGACGATATGAACAAACAAGTCACGCCGGCGACACGGTGGGGTGCCATCGCACCTCGCCTACGAGAGAGCGAAGTGCAGTGATTCGGGCTATCTACATAAAGATCCTCACGAAGCCTCGATTTCGCCTCGGGGATACGAAGTCGATCTCTATAGCATGCAGCTGCAACACAGCGCGGGCCCGATCGAGATCGGCGCGAGGGCGGGCGAGTTGCACGCGTCACCACCGAAGCCGAGTAAACCGAATCAGAATATTTCGCCGTGCGTCGAAGACGGTCTTATCGGGGCGGCTTATCGAGTTTTTTTTCCCTACCGCGAAAGCCCGGTTCTTCGCAAACGCGATCTTTTTCGCCGTGCTCGCTGCACCCCTTCCCGAAGGGAGGAGGCGGCGAAGGAGGAAGAGGCGATACACGAGCGAATGACGCGTACCTACACCGTCGATCGGCATCGTCGACGTCGTCGCGACAATAGCCGAAGGCAATTCCCATCCGACATCCGAGTGACATATTGGGATGAGATCTCTCGTCGAGTTGTTTGCGTTTACCTCGGCTGTATCGCGGATGCATCGGGCTGCAGGCGCGATGAAAGGGCGACGCCAGTCGAGTAAAAGCTGCTGCTATTGTTGCTACTTCATTTCCTCGCTCTTTTTCCCCTTCTCGCCGGGCTTTATTCCGCTTATTACAGTTGCTGAAAGGCTACGCGTGTGCCGCCTCTCATGCAAAAGTATTTTACTCGCAATTAATCAGAAATATATATGTGTGTACATATATATATATATAC